TTAAGTAAGGTAATTACAATTATTTTAAATTAAGATATTTAGGTTATTTTAACCTAATTATAATAGCTAAGAGCAATTTGTATATTCTTCTTCTTTCAATTTTTTTCCTCCAGCCATCCATTGCACACTTTATTCTTCTGTGTTTTTAGATCTAATTGTTGGTTTTTCTACAGAGATTCACTATTGATGAAGAAAATAATGAAAAACTATAAGACAGTGTTTTTCTTTTTTCTTTTTTCGTTATTTCTTCCTTTCATGGTTTATTCTCTTATTACATATGTTCTTATCTATCTTATTCTTTTCTTTGACTAAACTTTACGTGCCACTATTTTGTGGAGAAAGAGCATATAAATTAGGTTTTCTTTTTCAGTCACAAAATCACTGCAATTAATTTCTTTGGTTTTTTTTAAGTATACCGGCTGTTTTAATTTTAAATCCGAAACAAAGTGTAAAATCGATTAATGAAAAACATAATAAAATAAAACGATTGTATTGTGTGATAATTTGTTATTGGAGATGGCAAACTGTAACCAAATCCTACAGGTACTCAAAAAATATTCACACAGGAAGGTAACAATTTTGGATTTGATTACGGAGGAGATAGAAAATTGTATGGATATGGAATTGGGTACTATATAACATCCACTTTGAAGATTATTCCTCAATTTATATAATTTTGTAGATAAAGAAAAATGTTGTGACTAATTGATATGAAATCTTTAATATTGTAGATATGAAATCTTTAATATCTTTAATATGATTTTGCTGAAATGTTAGAATTTTCACTCTAACACTCTTTTTAATACTTTTTTAATTATTAATAAAATTTATTTATTTTTTTTTCATGATTTAATGATTAGATTAACTAAATTTATTCTTAATAAATTTTAATTAGTAATCAAATCTTATATATTAAATATGAATAATTATTGATAATAAGAATGGTTTTAGAACTTTTTTTTCAATGAGAGTTTTAGAAATCTTTTTAGTTCTTACCTAATTCGATTTTTTTATCATAATTATTTATAAAATAAATTTTAATATTTTTTTTAAAAAAATTATACTATTATATAAATTATTTATTATAATTTAAAATATAATTTATATATTTAAAAATATCTATTTATACATGTTAAAACACTAGGAAAAAAGAATGGGAGAAAAAAGCGTGTGATTGAAAGATAAAGAAAATAATGTATAAACGAATAATGGTATTGAATTGTCATCTGCTCTATGATGGGTGGACACAGTGTTGGTTTTTAGATGTACGCAATGTTTACTATTTTGTAGTTTTAAATCCGATATTTATGGATACGATTTTTCAGACCACTAGAAGCCAAGCATTGGGCAATGATAGACCAACCAATATTCACTGCAACTTGTTAAAACATCCACGGATTTAAACACATTATCAATAATAATTTTCCACAAAGGTTAAACTTAATTAATAACTTGCGAAGAATCAGCATTGTTAAATTGTAGAACAGGAAGTCAAGGAAAGTTACTGTTTGTCCCATCCTATGTATTGTTAATTAACACTGCTCTATTATATATGTACCCCACATCAATCCATACAGTAGCTGTGCCTTTGCCAAAAGAAAGCATCTTAATATCTTTCATGGTCCATCCAGTTGGTGAGGAAAAGGATAAAGCAGAAAGAACAATTAAACTAGGGTGAGATAGTAATAGTATATTATTATTCCACTTTTCACAACTAACAAATACCAAAGTATTAATATAAAGAAGACAATATCTATTTTGTTGTGTTTGAGTTGAGTTCTGATGTACAAAGTTTGTGTTGCTTGAGAGATGATCTCCCCATCAAGTGGCCTTGACATGGAAGAAGAGAAGAAAGTAGAAATAGTTGAGAGGGATGAGGACTTGGAGGATCAGCAACCAGTACCAGGTGGTGAAGTGGAGTCTCAGCCATGGAGAGAACAAATAACAGTGAGAGGAGTGTTTGTGAGCATGATAATTGGAATCATATACAGCATAATAGTGATGAAGCTCAACCTCACAACTGGAATGGTTCCTAACTTGAATGTCTCTGCAGCACTCCTTGCCTTTGTGTTTGTCCGAACATGGACCAAACTACTTCACAAGGCTGGCTTTGTAGCCAAGCCCTTCAGCCGCCAGGAAAACACCATCATACAGACATGTGCTGTTGCATGCTATAGCATTGCTGTTGGAGGTTAGAGGCTTGTCTTTTCCATATATATTACTTAATGAATTTACTATCTATATCTATCTATCTATATATGTAGTTTGATCTATGTTTGCGTGTGTGGCAGGAGGATTTGCTTCTTATTTGTTGGGGTTAAACAGGACGACTTATGAGTTGTCTGGAGTGGGAAACGAGGGTAACAGCCCTAGTGCTATTAAAGAACCTGGATTTGGTTGGATGACTGGCTTCCTTTTTGTGGTTTGCTTTGTTGGCCTCTTTGTCTTGATTCCACTCAGGAAGGTATTACTTAATACTTGCACATCCCTTTTTTGTTTATTCCAAGTTTTGGATTGGATGTCTTTGCTTCACATCTTTAAGTGATTTATAATATTGGATGCATTTATATATGTAGAACTTGTTACAATCACTCATCAACAAAATGGGGCCTGGCTTTTTTATTTTTCTTTTACTAAATTTTTCATTACGTTTGTGAAGACTTGTAAAGAGTATTGAAGTTCGGTTTGAGTTGCATGTAATGAAAGACTCCTCCAAGAAACTATGGCTTATTGCACTTTTTTCTGCTACAGATCATGATAGTTGATCTCAAACTAACTTATCCCAGTGGCTTGGCAACAGCGGTTCTCATCAATGGTTTCCATACTCAGGGTGACAAAATGGCCAAGTACGGTACACTTCTCTTTTATTCACCAGCTTTCATTTGTTTCAATTAGCAGATACAATAGTTATATTATTATCATAATATTTCTCTAAGAACTTGTATTTTTCCCTATCAGTATTGACTATAATATTATTATCAATAAAAAGGTATTCTGATTGATAATAATCTTTTTATAATATTGCAGGAAGCAAGTACGGGGGTTCGCGAAGTATTTTTCTATCAGTTTCTTATGGGGTTTATTTAAGTGGTTCTTCTCAGGGATAGAGGACTGTGGATTCGAACAGTTCCCTACCTTTGGATTGCAAGCTTGGAAGCAAACGTATGATTTTGAGCACATTATTTGCTTCGAAATGGATGGTTCCATCCCACCTGTTACTGATCATATTGTTTGGTTTTAATATGCAGATTCTATTTCGACTTTAGTATGACTTTTGTGGGAGCAGGAA